ATAAATCTTACCTAAACATGAAAACTTTCCTAGGGTATTAAAAAACTTCCCGACTTGTTCCTGCCAGTTTACGAGACCCCAAAAATTCAAAGAGGCTCACAACGATTTTCTCGGACGACAATAAATTAATTTGCCATTATTTCATTATGTGCGAAGGTTCTAATTGGAAGATAAAGTTTTTGACAAACAGTCCCTTTCGTAAACTTCTGTCCGTCGTAGTCCTCTGCGGACTAAAAGTGCAATTCGTTCAAGTCTTAGTAATCCACTCAAATGCAAATGAGCCGAGTACCTGGGATGCGTTCTCTTTTGCTCAAACTTGACAACTGGGAAAACTTGGAATAATTGCTACTTTAATTAATATTCTTAATGGTATTGTTGTGTATTATTTTAATCATAAAAAAGCATAAAATTGGTTATAAAAATGCAGATTGCAAAAATCATAACTTCGTAGTGTGATGAAAACATTTTTCCAATTAATCCACCATTGTCACCAATAACTCTGTAGAACATCGACGTGATTATATTGTTTTATTCGGCTTTCGTCCGACCACCAAACAATGCCATTGTCAAAAGCCACCTCCGCATTCGTTGTCGCGTTCGACGTGAAAAATCGATTTAATTTAATTTCGAGTGGTGTACGTGATAAAATTTTATTCCAGGAGAATTTCAAATATCGATTCTATCGCGGTTGGCATTTACCTCTCCTGTCTAACACGAACCCTGACAACTTATACGGAATTAAAAGTGTTCTGCAAAAAGTTCTAAGAATTTCTCTCAAATTCCTTCAAAAAGAATTTCTAAGCTGAATTGGTTTCCATTAATCTGGGTTCCAAATGAAGTAGTAATACATATTTGAAACTGGGTCGTTCTCGTTATATAAGGTGCAATTATAGGTAGTTCTCAATTTAAGGGGAGGCTTTTTATTACGGGCCGGATCATTTATGGGGGCGGTTCAAGTTTTCGTCTTCCGTAGTGCCTTCTGCTCTCCCGCGGGATGTGTTTACTGTTCACCCGACATTGTTTTTTATTGCTAGAAGGATATTGCCTGCCTTCCGCCCTCTTGAAGGAAATTAGAATTCGAAGCGGATTCGGATCGTAAAGTATTTTGGAAGATATGCCTTCCTTGGATCGTAAAATTTCGTCAAACCGGAAACCATCCAACGTCTTAAAAATATTGAGTTTTGAGATGTCAGGGAAATTCAATTAACTAATCTAAAAAAGGAAGTTTCTAATAATCTAATTATAATAAATGTATCAAATTATCGGTGTTTCCATTAAATAAACGTCCTCTATAGGATGTTCATGTTGTAATAAATGAGTTTTCACCAGTATACAAATGGTCAGCATGGCAAAGTCTAATTGCAGAGTACGACCGTGCTGAATAACGTTAATTACTGGTGAACGTAGAGGTAATCTGCTGCGTTTGACCGATACAGATCCGACAATTCACAAAATGTTCACGTTTGCCATTCGTGTGATTACTTTGTCCGCGACTGAACGCATGTTATGTTGCCACAGCTCGTTTCAAAAAACAGATTAATTCTCCGGAATTTTTGGCCTACCAAAACTCTAACCGAGCTTTCGATCAGAACATTACCACCCAAAGCAATTACAACAGTGGAACACACTTTTATAGCTTTTAAACCAACAATTAAACACCCAAAAGTTATTATTAAATAATTAACTTCAGCTCAAATTTTATTCGTAATTTAATGCGTTTTTAATTAAAATTCATAATAAATTAAATCGTTTCAACTTTAAAGGGTCTCGCTAATTTCCTTTTCATTAAAATATGTAAGCTTGACCAACAATATTAATCATAGCTTCTGACAGGTGTTTACAGTTAATATTATTCTACACGGTAAACGTTGCTAGGTGGACATATGTACTCAACCTGACTGAAGACATGACGATATTGTCGGACCATTATCGTACCCCATTGTTCACCGTACCTATATGCGCGTATCGTCGACGTTCTCGTAATGTATCCGCAGTATGCATGTGTCGGGCATTGATATGGTAAACTTAATGGCAATTACGGCGTATCTCCTTAATGGCAATAATCGAAATCATGTTCCGCGGCGAGAAATTGATGTCAAAATCAAACCACATAATGCTTAACTATGGCTGACATTGCGTTATTGATGAGTTTGGTTATTTCATTATAATCTTTCACGTAATTTATTTTTTCATAGTTTATACCGGAATTTCATATAACTCGCAATATATGAATGGGGTAACCATAGTTACGAAACTACTATGCACTTGCTCTATCCCATAATATAAAATGCAATATAGCTTAATAGTACAGGCATTGGGTAGTTTTGCAAAGGATAAGTTTTGCTTGGAAAAGGTGACGTCCTTATGATAACTCTGAGTTTCCGTCTTAAGAGACTAGTCGTGCGTCCAACCAAACCCAACCCAATCCAAATGTTTCTGGTTCTAGGTCTAGTGTTAGTTCTAGTTTACACCAGCACTGTTACTGTGTCAAACTAACACTATACTTAGAACTAGAATCATTTGGGTTTAGCCGCACGTCTCTAAAGACGGCTAAACCCGAATGATTCTAGTTCTAGGTATAGTCTAATTTTAGTTCAATAAAAATATGCAACATAGTGATATTTTATGCTAACTAGCGCTACCTATCAGCTACCAGCCATCTTACGAGTGGTACGGCTAAACGGAATGTTTCTAGTTCTAGGTGCAGTGTTAGTGCTAGTGGTAGTCTAGTTTTATTTATTATTCAGCGCTAAATTGTTGCATACTTTTATTGAGCTATAACAGACATTGCGTTCCCCGTATTGATCCGTTATATTGAGGTTTTACCGTAATGTCAAATTATATTGACATGTTGCATTTTATCACTGGATAGTATCTAACTTACGATTAGTAGTAGATTATAAATAGCAATTTTTTAAAAGTTTTAATGTAATATAAGTATTAGGTGACACCGCTAACTTATTAGTTGAAAATTTATCCACAGCATCGTTTTAAAAGTCAACCACAATGTTGCTCATCTCCGAGATTAATGGGCCATATCAAAATAAATGAGCTTGATAAAAGTAAAGCCGTAAAAATTTATCGCCCGTCTCGGAGGTCGGATATATGCTATACGTTTTACGTTCAAATCTATGCACTTGGATCGCATAAAGAGCATAAAGAACATCTTCCTTTACTTTTAGTATGATGATCATTGTATCGACCCAATTGAAATTCTCACCAAGTTTTTTCATTTTCAAAAGGAAAAAAGTTGTAGTGAAATATAGTTGCGAGACAACGAAATCTCCCCGAAATTACTAAACAAACCGATGCGGTGTTTTTCCGGCCGCAATTGCGGTAGTGGGTCTACAAAGGATTTTGTAGCGCATTTCGACAAATACGCGAACCTCCGCGGAGATTCCCGTTTGGGAATTTTAAATTCGCGGCAAGCCGTATTTGCCGGGATTGCGGAAGGCTTAAGAGATTGCGGATGCGGCGGTACTTCCTTCTGGTAGTATGGATGGAGTGTGTAATCAAATAACCATATGGTTGAGATATCGGGCGGAAAATGATAATCAAGTAATGGGGGAACGCAGCGAACATAAAGCGAGTGAATCGATTGAATGGGCGTAATTGTTACTTTAAGTCGATTTATTACAATTTTATATTCTCCTTAAATTAAATGATTAAGAGAAGCTTATAATCTAAAAGTAAAACGACTATTAGATGCCTTTGATGGTACAATTTGTCGTTTGCTCTGTAAATGTACATGGTAACAGTACGTACGAGAGAAAAACTTTAATCTCATGAAAGCTCCCGTGCACCAACGCGACCAGACTTCTGCAGCGTAGCCAACGTTACGTTATTAATAATTCAGTGAGCACTTAACGAGTCTTAGCGTTGCTTTGTTACGTAATTACGTAAAGTTGCGAGGCTGCGTAGAAAAAAGAGCCTCGCGAAGCGCCCTACCTGAAGCTCTCGTAAGTCACCCGGTTTGTTTTGCCTCCTAAGAACTCCAAAGGAATGTACAGAAGGTTTTGAAAATTGAGTGTTTCCATAAAAACGTATCTTGAAATAAAGAGTCCTTTATAAAGCACGATGTTAACGCTGGTATTCAAACTTGACCGTCATCATTAAATTACGTAATTATTATGAGATTTTCATACCACCGATAACGTTGGAGGTATAGTAACCACAAATTTTCAATTACCTGAACGTTCAACGTACCTAAAGAGGCACTTGATTTGCGAGCTGAATGATATTAAATACCGGACTCGAGGGTCGGACTCGAAATGAAATTCACTCGCGGTGGCATGCGCTCCATCGGAAATGATGACTTAATTAATTCTGGAAATATGGATTTTCTTTATTGTTCCAGATGTCCTGCCGCTCGAGGCATAACCAAATTAGAAACTCGTAAACGTGAGCGAAAAGAGGCCGTAATAATTTTAACGGCCCATTGAAGGTTCATAAACGACAGAATTGAACTTAAAAAAATAATTTAATAATTCCATCCAATAATTGAAACAATATTTTCTACCCGACGTCTTTTCCAAGTTATCTTGTAAACACCAATATACTTTTAAGTAGTTTTTCGGTTTAGTCGGGAAGTTTTGCTACGTATCGACCACTTTTTGACGATAATGCTTTCCAAAAACAAACTGCAGTTCGTAAAGTTATTTACCTCAAAAGAACAGGAAGCGGTGTCTTGGATGTGCTAGCTAAAGTTGCAGTTTAATTGTAACGAATGACTTCTGAACAACTCGAAATGAGAGCGTGTTATCAAGTTGGTCGAGTACAAATCGTGCGTTGAACGTCGTCTGCTTACAAAACAGAGTTAACTAAAGGCCCATTTAAGCCACCGCGGTGTGTAAAATCCGAAATTGTGCCGCAATAATAAGCAATAACTGAGCGGTATTGGAGAAACGTGCAGTAGTAAAAGAAAATTGCATTGTTATAGTGGGTCGTGTATACGAAGGGTAGAAAGTTGCGGTAAGCTAACTTGTTCTCTTTCTTTTCAGTGAACGGTGACGAAGAACCCAATCCCCTTCCTTGTATAGTATGGGTTCACGGCGAAAGTTATGAATGGAACTCTGGAAACCCTTACGATGGAACAGTTTTGGCGTCCACTGGAAGGGTAATCGTGGTTACCATAAACTTTAGACTGGGAGTGCTTGGTAAGTTTTTAAATTAACTCTAACATGATTTTTGTTTGTTTTAACGTAATTAGTTTGAAGAAAATAAATTTAAATTACTTGGAGTTTTAAACTAATAGATCAACGTATTAGGAAAACCTTAATTTTCAGGTTCGTTACGGGACCTCTGCCAAGAATCGAAATTTTTACGGTCTGTTTACCGTGCCGCCGTCCAAAAGCTTGCAATTCCGAATTACGGGGCCGTCCATTTTTAACGTCCGCCATTTCCAAACATTAAATCTCCACTACCATGAATATAGATTATCCGTAGTCGTGCTCTGTAACCCGTAACTTCTCGTCACCATACACTCGTTCTGTCGTTACCCTGCCTCGAAAATGTAATCCTCCTTTTCTGCACGAACGTTCGAAAGCCCGTGCCAAATTACCCGTCCATTAAAAATTCCATTAAAATCTCCAACGGAGTGCGACGTAACCCACATCTCGTAATATATACACACCCGAGCTTTGAGCACATATTTGACCGCCCAGATGAGTGTTCGTTAGAAGTTTCGGTCTGAATACGGCCGACTTGTCCTTTTTTTGCACATACCCACTAGCAATTTTCCTCCAAACTCAACCTAAAATATGCATATGGATATTGAACTGAAAGATTACCACAATTCGGTAAATCAGGGATATTATACCTAACCACAGAATAAAAAGAAGTTGATTGAAAAGTTTGAGAAATGATATAGCAGCAAAATTATTTCACTTTTAGATTTGGAATTTGTGTATCGCGATTCACTACATCTATTATCAAAAAAGTTTAGTCTATGAATTTCGAAATTCGTCTTAATTAGTCTAGAAGATCTAATGGCGACCGAAGCGCCACATTATGATGATCAGTTTCAGGTTGATATAATTTTAATCATTAAGCCCCTAACTAAAAATAAGTGACTTATAAATATATTGTTGAGATGGATCGCTTTTGCGTAAGATGATCCCAAAACTATAATCTTATTCATTTCTTTGAAAAAAGTTTTAACTGAATTAAATGACCATTACGATCAATTTATCTTCATAAATTCTTTTGGTATGACAAAACCCCTGTCAAAACATCATACACGTTATTTAACTGAAAACCTGGCGTAACGCGATGGCAAATAGAAACACATTCTTTTAAAACGTGGCTCGGCCCTTATTCATTCGTATCTACAAAGCCTCGGCAACAAATCACAAGCCCGCCAACATGCAAGTCGTACGTATACGGTATACCGAGGACATGGCAAAGAATTCTACGTCGGAACTGTAAATAACGAAAGAGCCGGCGGAAACAAATAGCAAGTTTAGTGCCCACGGACGGCGAAATCTGTTTCACTTTATCCGTTTCCAGCCGCACGGTTATTTTATTGCGCCTTTCTCGTGATCTCTTGGACGGAACCCGCCCTTTTCGACGACGCGGGTGCTCCTCATGTCCTACGGCCCTCATGTCCCTTACGTTCCAATTTATCATTTCTCGGTGCGCGTCTCCTCTTCAGAATGACGTTATACATCACGCTCCGCGTCACCCCGTATGTATTCAAGAGAAGAACATAACAGATGCACGCGGTAAGCACCTTACTGCACCTTGGAATGGTGTTAAAACGGGAATGTAAACAGATTGCCCAAAGAAGCTTAACGCGAAAAGATTTACACTGACGTTATCTGTCTTATTAAAATCTTAATGTCGCTAAAACAAATTTTTTAAGAAATATCAAAGTAAAATATCATATTAACGTTTTTTTTTTTCGTCGTGGTATCTTAACAAAAGTTATCAAACTGTGTCCTTCTAGAATATTAGAAGACCTTCCGGAAGTTTTTATGAACTTGGTCGGTGTAATACGTAAGAAAAGTTTCATCGTTAAGAGTCAACTCATCTACTGTCTTGATACATCGAGATTGTCTCTTTTTCTCCCAGCCATACCTAATAATAATACAGTGGTTTTCACTTAAAATGTAATATACAAAATTTTTTTTCAAATTAAGGAAACGCAGTGTCCGGTATAGCTCAATAAAAATATACAATAATCTAAATCTCAATAACAAATGAAACTAGACTAACACTAGCACTAACACTAGACCTAGAACTAGAAACATTCCGTTTAGCCGCGCGTCTATTAAGTCGACTAAACCTGAATGTTTCTAGTTCTTGGTCTAATGTTAGTTCCAGTGACAGTGGTAGATAGCGCTAGTTAGCATAAGATATCACTGTGTTGCATATTTTTATGAGAATCATTCGGGTTTAGCCGTCTTGAGAGACGTGCGGCCTACGTGAAAGATTCAGAATTAAAATAAATTAATGATGAATGAATTTAAAATGCAAAAACATTTTGGAGTCTATTTATCAAAGAATGAATAGAAATTGTTGTATATAATAGCAAGGGTTAAGTCCGGTACTCAGGGACTAACGAAGGTTCAAGCTTACAACGCCGTATAATACCTACGAATGGACCTCTAAATCTACTGATATTATGGAGATTTATTGGGATTGTGTGCTTATTAGGATTTATAGGAATAATTTTGGGTTCTATAACCCTAGGTGTACAACAATTTTCTCGAAATAAATGGGGTCAAAATATGAAAAAACAAACTGTAATTTAATTGTTGTTTTTTACGTCGAATAATCATTACTCATCCAAAAACTAATTAATGAGCGCAAGCCAATTATTAATTTCATCGAAAGTGTAATTGATTTAAATAAAAAAATGTGAGATTGAATTGTTGCTGCCGGAAAACAAACAGTTTACAATCGCGTACCGGGAAATTCATGTACTATGTTTACCATTGTGGAGAAATTAAATTGGAATACGGGCGGTCCGAAATTCAATTTAATGATTAAATTTTCCACCTTTCAAAAAAGTTGAATTGTTTCTCTTTACGATATTTGCACAACGTTTTTATATACAATTAGATTTGTAGTTACAAAGTAGAAACTAAATAGTCCCGTGAATTAACTAACGAATTTAGTTGGGAATTATTTATCAATATTATTTGGTTCATAAATAAATCTTTTAATTTAATAAAGAGGACACATTCGAATATAAATGCTGACATTTTACGAGGGTGGGAAGTTGTTTCGCGAGTCTCGGCGATTTGTTGTCTCGTTTTCTTGCGGGTATTCTTAGGAAAATGCTAAACAACTGCGCCTAAGATTTATTTGGACATATATTTTAGGGCCTTGCTGGGAAAATAGCGCGATGCAAAAAAGCCAAATATAAACATTATTTTATGTACCAGGGACCGCATGTCGCAAAAATTGAATAGTGAGTTATTCGTTAAAATGAAAATTAAATTAAACTTGTACATTTATTTTGTTGTTACAGACATTATGTAAAGTAAAAAGTGTGACTGTATAAATGCATGTATAAAATCAAATAAATTTCATAGCGAGAATGTCACTTTTGTGGAATTTTTTAAATTGAGTATGAAACGTGGTCCAGTAATAAATTTGGTTGTTTTTTTTTTAAACGTGTTTCACAACAATTTGTGGTGTTTTATAAATTTTATAACATTGCTATTTCCGTTATTATGTGAAACTTTCTAGTTCTAGTGATAGCGTCAAATTACCTAAATTATTCTACCAAACCTAGTATTCTTTATTATTAATATTATTATCATCGTTATCTTTTTCCATCTTGTAATTTTAATAAAACTCAATTTTTGCAATTTTTTCTCGATGGAGGTATTTTATTTTAAGTTCTACCGGTTGCGATTCTTACAAATCATCTTCAGGAACTACGTCATTATTGAATTAAATGTTCTGTTGCAAAATGTCCTGATTATTCAGAAACATAGAAAGCGATAGAAACATCTAGAGAAATATCTAGAGATTGAAACATTCGGCTTTAGCCGGTCGTCTCTCCCTGATCAACAGTTCAGATCTGCAGCTTTATTTGATAATGCCAAGGCTGCTTAGGGCCGAAGCACTGCGGCAATATATGCGGCAATATGATGACCAGTTTCAGATAGAATGTTGGATAAGGTTAGTTTTGTTTACAAATGTCAATCATCCCCGGAAGGAATGTTGCGAAAAGTCAGCTAAACCCGATACTTTGTAGTTCTAGGTCTAGTGTTAATTCTAGTTTTAATTTTTATTCAGCGTTAGATTGTGGTATATTTTTATTAAATAAAAAGTAGAACTAACACCAGACCTAAAATCAGAAACATACAGGTTTAGCCGTGCGTCTCTTAAGGCGGAAACTCAGAGTTATCATAAGGATGTCCCCATTTCCAAGCAAAACTTTTCCTTTGCAAAACTACACAATGCCTGCACTATTAAGCTATGTTGTGGGACACATACTACATTCATATATTGCGAGTTATATGAAATTCCCGGTATAAAGAAAACCGACCTAGCCTAATTCAATACATAATACAGATATGATTATTTCAGTAATATTTGTTGAATTATTGGGAATTGACCCAAATATCAATTTACCAGCCAGTTTTGTTATTGAACTGGTTTGATTAGGATTTCCTGAATATTGAATGAATAACAAATCTATTTACCTTTATCAATTTATATAATCACAATTTACCCTGTGTAATTTTAATGCTAATAATCGAGAAATAAATCCAAAAAAAGAATAAAACAATTATGTAGTTTGATGAGAAATTACAAAATTTTTAATATTTATTTTCAATTCAACGACAATTTCAATTTTATTCAAACAACTTGGAAAATTTACCTGGTAACGTAATAACGTTGAAATTTCCAATTTCTACACGAACGGTAAAAGCTTTTGGGTTGCGTTTGGACAACGGGAGATGGCAGGAGTCAACAACTTGGTTGTAAATCGCGAAGCAAATATTTGCGAAAAAGGCAAGGGAGAGAGGACCCCGTTTCTAGTCCAGATGAACTTGGAGATAACGACCGTATCTCGTCATCCAAGCGAAACTTTCGTATTTTAATATTTACTCCGTCGCGCTGACGCCAGAAGTAAACAGAAATACGGTTAGTGAATCGCGGAGGGTTCCCTTTTACATCCTCAAATGGCACAAATCTCTTCATAGGTTCCGATTTAACTACAATATATTTCCGTAAAGATCTTAGCGGCTAATCTTAGTTTTGTTTATCTAATGAAACCTAGTTTCCTTCTTCATATATTCCATTTTCGTGTAAAAAAAAACGTTTTGTTTTGTTCAATTTAGTTTACTCGGTTTCAAGCAGAAATGTAGTACCTAGTAGATAAGGCAAAATAGGAGACTCGCGAATCGAGCAACTGATTGGAAAACTTTAGAGGGACACCTATGTGACGCCCGATAAAGCGGAGTTGATTTAAGGGATCCTACATCATTCCACTAAATCAAATGCAAATCTTTACCCTTCGAGAAGTTGAGCGTCGTACTCCGACGACTGCATTTCGCGTCGAGACCATAACAATGACGTGAAAAAGATAGAGAACGAAGAAAATAGTTCGAACTATTATTAACTTGAACACAACCATAATATTTTACGCCTTCATTGAGTTGGTGTCGCATGACTTCGAGGATCGATGTTATTTCGTATTCTAAATAGAACGTCGACATCGTCGCGGCGAGCTCGGTGACTCATAAATAATATATTTTCTCATTTAGAGGAGACTACGTTTACAGATTACCATTTCAATTCGAACGATCGTTTTTAATATGTTCTGAATGGAACTTAAAATCTTGAATTTGAACTAAAACTAGAAACTTTTGGGATTCTTTTGCAACATTCTTTAAAACATTTTTTTCAAAAGATTATTCAAAAATATATGTTTTTTGATATATTTAGTGAGAAATAACTAAAAGAAAAATATCTATTGATGCATTAACCCTAATTCGTAAAAACATGGTCTTCTAGAATGGACGGAGCCCTAATGGCCAACAATTTGTTTCAGGTTTCTTGAAGACGGGTACCCAGGGAAGCGCTCAGGGCAACTTCGGCCTAATGGACCTAGTGGCTGGCCTTCACTGGCTCAGGGAGAACTTGCCCGCTTTCGGAGGAGACCCGGAGAGGATAACCCTAATGGGGCACAGCACGGGGGCCGCCCTCGTCAACTTTATAGCTGTGTCTCCGGTGGCGAAAGGTGAGTTGTCTTGGATGCTATACCCGGATTACACTTCGGGAAGTGTCGATACCCTTTAGTGAGGATTGTCGAGACGTCGCCCCTTTCGACAAATTGCTTTTGAAAGTCCCGCGGGAACACGATTATCGGGGGCCTTTGATTGAAAGTCCGCGTTCTGTTAGCTTCGGCGGATGGTCGAGGTATGGCCATTGTAAAAGTTTCCTCTATTGGAATTAATTCCGAATCTCATTAACGGTTATTGCACGTTCGTGTAACTAATTGAATAGGTTGTCGTAACATAATCGAACTAAACTGGATCTCATTTTCAATTCAATTTTTAACCAAATTTTTAACTAATCATTTACCAAAAACTTTTTACAAAGTTTTTAACAAACTTTTTTGGAAAAAGCTTTTCCCAAAAGATATTTGCTATTTGGTTGGTTTAGGTATGGCTTAACACCGTTGTGGACGTAATTTTGCAGATGTCACCGAGTTAAATTAATTTAACGTCGACCAGGACGCAATCCTGGAACGTCCTGCCAGATTTATGTCGACCGACGACCGCGCGACATCCCTCAATTCGGTCGACAATTCATCGAAGGGCCGGCTCGAACTAGTTACGTGCAGAACCGGCAGATTTAATATCGCCGGTGCGACCAAATAATTTATTTACCAAAGGCTTTGAGTTTGGCTTAATCTTCATCAAAACAACCCTCCCAACGCGATTGAAGAATGTAACCCGATTATCCTTCCAGGATTTATGTTAACGCGTTGACTTGAGTGCAGATCCTAGTCACTGGTCTGTGCCTTTGGATTTTCTTCGACAAGCTGCTTACTAGGAGCCTTCGCACAAAGGAGACAACAAAACAACAAATCGAAATAAACGTTAATTAATTTATTATTGACTATTTCGCTTAAAATTTATTCCCATATTGGTAATTATTTAAATAATTACTAGATACGTCAACATGTAAACGTTATATATGTGTAGTATGCTAAAATTAAATCGATGAAAACAAAACCGCAAACAAACGATGTACATATTTTATGCAATTTCAGGAGTTTTGCAAAATCAATAATTAATTCAGTACGCAAATATAATTTTATATTTAGAAAGTATTTATGACAAACGAGATAATTTTCCTTTGATTTGGTTTTTAATAAAATGTATTAATTTTAATTGCAAATAAAATGTCATATAATCTCATATTTCGAATTCATAAACGATTTCATTCATTCGAATAATTTAAAGTTCTTGTTTGAAATAACTTCATTATACCTACATCCGGATTATAACCGAGATAACCTGAATTTGACATTCAAAGCACGTGTGCATTTCAGATCGAGGATCGTCATTCATCCTTTGGCATTTAAAATCACCACTCCTTTCAATCAAGCCCTCTTTGTTCTGAGTTACGTCAAAGCTCGATCGACTCTTTCAAATTACCGCAAAGAATCAGGACGCAAAGTATCCGACGACGCAAGTGAAGGCAGCGTTTCCTCATAAAATAGGCACCTGAACGTTGGGTTGGGTCTTTCACTTTGAGGCTTTCAAATTAGTATCGAGAAAGGTTCGAGGAGATTCTCTTAAATAATGAAAAACTGTTCCGTTTGAAATAACAAGATTGATTCGATGAAGTCAACGTAGTAATTAACTTTGGCTTTTATATCAAATTAAAAGATGACAGCATAATCATCACCATCGCGAATAGGTTTTCTGAAGCGGCAATCTCTAGAAAATTTCCGTCTCATTTCCGCCACTGGAAAATCCGGAAGATTACTCCTTCACGAACCGGGAGAAACTTTTCTTTAAAACTGGGATACCCTCGGGCTGTCAGAAGCGTGCGGTTACGTGCCAACCTGACAACGTGGCGTCACGGTTTGAACATTAAAATCGGTTCCTGTTTAGTTTGCCCCGTCTTCCGGCGAGAGAATAGATAATTAAGATTTGGCGCGGAACTAAAGTGTCTCTATTTACTTTTATTATTTAGGAAACCTTAACAAATTAAATGAAGTGGTTTTTGATAACGTCTAAGTCTTTGTATATAGTAAGTTCACGTCTATCATTTGATATTACGTTATCGCAGTTAGTTTCATGTTAAACTTTAAACCGACATAAATTAGATTTGTTGGCTACTTGCCGCTTGTGCATTATTAAAAGTTAAGTTAAGTTGAAGTTTTTTGAAAGTTTCGTTTTATGTACCGAAACTTGTACTCCCCGGCGACTCCACCAAATATTTCATTAATTTAATATCTAGCAACAATTTATAATATCTACTTATAAATCGTTAAAGCAAATTAAGTCTCGTTATCAATTTAAATTTTCATAAACGGTTCAAAGTGCACACTTACACTAAAACGGGTTGCATCACAGTTCCCGTTAATTTAATTGCAGCACGTTTTTAATAAAACTTTATAGCTACAAATGCTGTTGTAATTGTTATACCAGCACACAACAGCGAGGCTTACGATAGCTCGAATATCGCCAACCCCATAAAGGGGCGAGCACGTTTAAAATTTACAACTACTTTTATTATTCATCTACCTTTTCGGTTAATAGTCCGATTGATTAAGAAAAGAAGTGGTCTGCTTTAAATGTTTTCACTTTAATATTGGTGTGTACAATTGTGTTAATGTACCATCAAATTAATATTCTGTGTATTATGAAATGGAAGGTACAGCGATAGTCACTTCAAAGGCGCTTAACCATGTTTCTCTCATTATTACGGCTGTCTAACTTGATAATTAAAGCCACATGTAAACACCGAGATAATTGAGGTGTCCGACTGTTTTACTTGTTAGTGTTTGTTTTAATAGTTTCATGAATTAAATAGCATCTATGACTTTTTCATTGACCAATATTTACTTCTATACACATTGAACTCCATCATTGAAGGTATTAATTATTTCAAACTATTCCACTGGAAACGTAGAATGTTTTTAATATAGAAGAATTTTCAGCAAATTTAGAATTTAAAGAAGTTTGAGGTTAGAAATCTAACCCCAAACTCAATCTTTCAAAAATTCTAAACCCAAATTCTAAATTTTAAAGTTTATCTTCAATAGATTCGTATCTTGTACATTTAAAACGATACATTAATTTGTTTTGTCCTGGTGTGTGTTCCAGAGACAGAACGTCGCGCCGTTATTTCTTTATGTAGGTAAGATAAAGGCGTGACGTATAGTCTGGAAAAGACAAACAATTCTAATTATACGGAATTATATTTTATCAATTTGTTGTTTTTTAAATTTATCCTTTTAAGATTAACACTCCGCCTGTGGTAATAGCTGTCTGAAAATATCGATCTCTAAAGTAACTTTTGGCACGGATAGTAGCCGTTGTTAACACAAATAACGACAAAGATTGACTTTATTACGCAAGCGCCTCACATTGTAAATAACCTATTTTCCCAAAACATTTTGCCCATTATTTTTGTAATAAAAAATTGTTTTGATGAACTTGCTTTCCCTGAAAAAGAATTATTTATTAGGTTCATTAATTATTTCGTTGTTTAAATTATTTTGATTATTTTTTACTAGCAGACTTGCGAAATAGGGTCAACAAAAACTTGTTTGTTTCCACTAAATATTAATAATAACCATTGTATATTGATGAAGGTAAAAAAATCCTCAGAATTCGAAATGGCTTGCATTAAATTAAAAAGTTACATGGTTCTACAAAAAATTTAACATTTAGATTCTTATAAAATATGATTTTACGTCAGCTGCGGAATAAAATTGACCAAACGTAAAAAAACGATAAAATTTCATGGTTAATGCATGACTAAAGTTGTCAAATTCACTAATTGAATTGATTTCGTAGTGAAAAAAGTTATGATGAAATCGAATAATGCGTACATAAAGTAAAGAGAAAATTACTTTATCCTATACCAACAGATGCTTTCGGTCCGATTAAATAATTGTAATTATAACTATCCCTTACACTCGTAGAACTAATTAAAAGTTTTCTAATTTCAGTGGATTAAGACCCAATCTGATTTAGAACATGAGAACACGTTAAATTTAATTATTCTCATCTACATTTTATAAGACTTAACTACAGATAAATTAAAAAAATCTAAATGTTTGCGATTGATAAGAATCGCTTTGGAAACTATTTAAATCCATGCATCGTAACCGCGATTCACAACTTCTACCGTCTACTATGTGAAGGGTGCTTTCAGGTTTAAATCCGTCTTCAACGACAAGCGTACTCGGTTGCCTGAAGGCTAAAGTCTAAACCAGTTAGGATCCAACATCAAATCGATGCTGGATGCCGCGTATGCAACCATGCCCGTCAACGGAGATCGCGTTCATCTCCTTATTTAGGATGTATTCAATCGAATTGTCGACGTGGATTTCGGGATTCTCTTCGTCCTATGATTTATTCATGAAACGTTTTTGGGTGGAAACTTTAGTAGAAAATATTTAGAATTTTTTCAAGAAATAATGATGTGAGTAGCGTGTATCTAGATTTTATATCTTTAGTAAATAATCCATCTTCCTTCATGTTCTAGCCTTCACAGATATTAACCCCTCCAAATAGATTTCTCTTGTATACCAACGGAACCCGGTCCATCTCGTTCCGTGTTTGCTTTATCCAGCTTTTGTAATAATCTTGGACGAAGGCGACCGGCAATGCGGGTTGATTGTTCAACGTTCCCATCCGGTTGTCACCGTCTGTCATCCATCTTGGTTCCGGTCAACGAACGGAAACAAAATTATACTCGACAAAAAATCTCTTCTCTAAAGCATCCCTTTTATCGGTCGGTTTTGCGGGATATTCGATTCGAGGGTCGATGGTTAGTGAAAATAGAGCAAAATTGAAGGGTACCCGACATGTCGCTTGAAATCGCCCAATTCCGTATGCATCTTGCGTCACACGTGCCTTGCGGCGGCTGCAGGATACGACCTGCACTCCGTCGATTAAATCGACATAATCTCGAAGTAACGCACGTGTTGCACGTATCAATGGGTGCCGTCGGTTTCAAAACACGGGGAAAATTGGTGGGTAACGGCGG